CATGATAAAAGTCTAGAAAACTTAGGAAATAGAAGGAAAGTTCCTCAACATTATAAAAGCTATATATGACAAACCTACAGCCAGCATTATACTTAACGGAGAAAAACTGAAACCATTCCCTCTAAAATCAGGAACCAGACAAGGATGCCCACTATCTCCACTCCTATTCAACATAGTACTGGAATTCCTAGCCAGAGCAATTAGGCAAGAAGAAGGAATAAAAGGAATACAAATAGGTAAAGAAACTGTCAAAATATCCCTATTTGCAGACGACATGATCCTATACCTTAAAGACCCAAAAAACTCTACTCAGAAGCTTCTAGACATCATCAATAGCTATAGCAAGGTAGCAGGATATAAAATCAACATAGAAAAATCATTAGCATTTCTATACACTAACAATGAGCAAACTGAAAAAGAATGTATGAAAACAATTCCATTTACAATAGCTCAAAAAAATCAAATACCTAGGTGTAAACCTAACAAAAGATGTGAAAGACCTCTACAAGGAAAACTATACACTTCTGAAGAAAGAGATTGAGGAAGACTATAGAAAGTGGAGAGATCTCCCATGCTCATGGATTGGTAGAATCAACATAGTAAAAATGTCGATACTCCCAAAGTAATCTACATGTTTAATGCAATTCCCATCAAAATTCCAATGACATTCATTAAAGAGATTGAAAAATCTACGTGAAATTTATATGGAAACACAAGAGGCCACGAATAGCCAAGGCAATACTCAGTCAAAAGAACAATGCAGAGGTATCACAATACCTGACTTCAAACTATATTACAAAGCAATAACAATAAAAACAGCATGGTACTGGCACAAAAACAGACATGAAGACCAGTGGAACAGAATAGAGGACCAGATATGAAGCCACACAACTATAACCAACTTATCTTTGACAAAGGAGCTAAAAATATACGATGGAGAAATAGCAGCCTCTTCAACAAAAACTGCTGGGAAAACTGGTTAGCAGTCTGCAAAAAATTGAAACTAGATCCATGTATATCACCCTATACCAATATTAACTCAAAATGGATCAAGGATCTTAATATCAGACCCAAACTCTAAGTTGATACAGGAAAGAGTAGGAAATACTCTGGAGTTAGTAGGTATAGGTAAGAACTTTCTCAGTGAAACCCCAGCAGCACAACTAAGAGATAGCATAGATAAATGGGACCTAAAACTAAAAAGCTTCTGTTCATCAAAAGAAATGGTCTCTAAACTGAAGAGAACACCCACAGAGTGGGAGAAAATATTTGCCAACTATACATCAGACAAAGGACTGATAACCAGAATATATAGGGAACTTAAAAAATTAAATTCTCCCAAAACTAATGAACCAATAAAGAAATGGGCAAGTGAACTAGACAGAACTTTCTCAAAAGAAGAAATTCAAATGGCCAAAAACACATGAAAAAATGCTCACCATCTCTAGCAATAAAGGAAATGCAAATTAAAACCACACTAAGATTCCACCTCACCCTGTTAGAATAGCCATCATCAGCAACACCACCAACAACAGGTGTTGGCGAGGATGCGGAAAAAGGAACCCTCTTACACTGTTGGTGGGAATGTAAACTAGTACAACCACTCTGGAAAAAAATTTGGAGGCTACTTAAAAAGCTAGACATCGATCTACCATTTGATCCAGCAATACCACTCTTGGGGATATACCCAAAAGACTGTTACTCCAGAGGCACCTGCACACCCATGTTTATTGCGGCACTATTCACAATAGCCAAGTTATGGAAACAGCCAAGATGCCCAGCACTGACGAATGGATTAAGAAAATGTGGTATCTATACACAATGGAATTTTATGCAGCCATGAAGAAGAACGAAATGTTATCATTCGCTGGTAAATGGATGGAATTGGAGAACATCATTCTGAGTGAGGTTAGCCTGGCCCAAAAGACCAAAAATCGTATGTTCTCCCTCATATGTGGACATTAGATCAAGGGCAAACACAACAAGGGGATTGGACTATGAGCACATGATAAAAGCGAGAGCACACAAGGGAGGGGTGAGGATAGGTAAGACACCTAAAAAACTAGCTAGCATTTGTTGCCCTTAACGCAGAGAAACTAAAGCAGATACCTTAAAGCAACTGAGGCCAATAGGAAAAGGGGACCAGGAACTAGAGAAAAGGTTAGATCAAAAGAATTAACCTAGAAGGTAACACACGCACAGGAAATCAATGTGAGTCAATGCCCTGTATAGCTATCCTTATCTCAACCAGCAAAACCCTTGTTCCTTCCTATTATTGCTTATACTCTCTCTACAACAAAATTAGAAATAAGGGCAAAATAGTTTCTGCTGGGTATTGGGGTGGGGGGAGAGGAGGGGCGGAGTGGGTGGTAAGGGAGGGGGTGGGGGCAGGGGGGAGAAATGACCAAGCCTTGTATGCACAAATGAATAATAACAATGAATAAAAATAAAAAAAAAAAAGAATAAAGATATTTACACGGCAAAATACAAGGGCAAATCCCCATGAAACAATGAACAGACATAGACAATGAAGTTTTAGGGAATGTAAAACGGGTTCATTGTTAAGGAGAGGGCTCTAGTGAGAGGGGGAGGGAAATGAAGAGAGTAAGGGAGGGGAAATCTGATTGATATATTTCCATATGATGAATGTGGGAAACACTGAAACCTGTTGAAGCCATGAAGAAGGAGAATAATGGAGGGGATGAACCAAACCGGGTACAATATGTGTACATATGGAACTGTCACAGCAAAACCCTTTACACTATCATATACTAATAAAAACATTCAAAAAAAAAAAAAAAAGGAGGGTGCTTGTTCCATTACCCTGGAATTTGTAATTCTAGATGTACATACTCTCTGGCCCAGCGATTCCACCTCTGAAAATTGAAACATTTATAAAATGGCATAAGTACAAGTCCTATACCACTGTCTACTAACAGAATATCTAATAAGCATGAAGCCCTGAGGTCAAAATCCCAGTACCGCAAAAAAAAAAAAAAAAAAAAAAAAACAGAGAGAGAGAGAATAAAACTACCCCAAATGTGTTAAATAAGCCAATGATTCAGCCACACACAGGAACATCATATGGCAACAGAATATTACACAGCCATAAAAGGATTACAGAAGCTCGCTTTTCCTGACATAGGAAAAAAAATCCGAAAATATAACAGTGAAAACTACATGCCAGTGAGGTAAGATGGTATTATTTAGCACAGAGAACAGATCAGTTGGTTTCCCCAGTTTAAGGGATGAAACAAAGAGTCAGGATAAGAGGAATTCTTTGGTATATCGCAATTTCTATATTATTCCTTGGCTGTTATGGAGAATCTAAGCACATCTACAAAATCATTTTTTAAAAAATACAGATTGTGAATCTTACTGTTTGCAAACTTTTTAAATATGAAAAAGAAAAAAAGCTTCTAAAATACTGGCGATATTCGACCTTAACCTGGCAGTAGTATCACTGGTATTAACCATATGATTATTTGTATACACATATTTTATGCTATCCTCTGCAGATAGGCCTATTTCATTATTTTAACAAATTACCAAAAAAAGGACACCAAGTCCCAGTTTTCTGCCCCCACCTCTGCTCTCATAACATCCATTTCTGATGTATATATAGACAGGAGGAAGCAGATCCCATGCTGCAGGCACTCACCCTAGCCTATCAAGAGAGTTTTGTTGTTGTTGGATTTTGTGTGTGTGTGTGGAACTGGGGTTTGAACTAGGAGCAAAGCAAGCACTCTACTGCTTGAGCCACATCTCCAGTCCATTTTGCTCTGGTTATTTTGGAGATGGGGTCTCATACACTATTTGCCCTGACTGGCCTCAAACCATGATCCTCCCAATCTCTGCCTCCGCAGTAGCTAGGATTATAGGCGTGAGTCACTGGCACTCAAAAGGAGTTTTTAAAGAAAATGTTTTGTGGCAGAGATAAGATGCAAGGGTGACTTGGGGGCAAAAACAACTGAGGACCTGCTTTTGGACAGCACCTGGGCTTCATAGTAATAATTTCCTCAAACTATATGCCTACCTGGTACCTAAGATTATAAAAGTATTCTTTTAAATCTTTATTTCTGGGTTAGGGACGTAGCTCAATGATAGAACTTGCTTGTCTAGCATGCGTGAGGTCCTGGGTTCCATCCCAGTACTGCAGGTCTTTAAGCTTGTGACAGCAGGTGTTCAGGTTCACAGGAGACAGGGTCAGCTCAGAGGTGTTACAAACAAAGACCATGCACACTGGGGACTCACTGACACCCAGTGCAGGGGATCAAGGTTTCAGTTAACGTTGACCATCTTATACACCCTGTGCTATTCCACCTCTTGCCTTGAGGGGAAAGGAGAAGCTGACCAGACTGTAACTTTGACTCCAAGCAGCAAACAACAAAAGCCTCACACTAAGGGTTTTCCAAGACACTTATAAATGCACATGGGAGGTAAACAGCACTGAAAACCCAACAGCCCCTGCCTCAGATGCTCCACAACAGCCCTGACATTCTCCAGAGGATAAAGTTTCCCATTTTTCTCTGGCAAAATTCAAATGTGCTCATCATTCTTATAAATACACTTTGCTAGTCAACAAGATGTTTTACTGGCCTGAAACTCTCACACTTGAGGGCTGGGAAAGCAGAGCGTCTCACAAGCGATCTGGACCCACATCCTGAGAAGACAGGCCACCAAAACCCCTCCTAAGGTGGCACCAGCCACATGTTCGTGTAACCAAAGCTCCTATGGAGGCCAAAAGCTCTGCACTGAGGTGGAGAATGCTCCCGTGGCCCTGCACCCTAACACACCTTCCTCACAGTCTCCAGCTCCTGCTGCTTGTTTTCGTTGGCAGCCTGCAGTTCCTTCATCTGCCGCTCCAGCTCCTCCTGCTCAGCCAGAAGCTTCTTGCGGAGCTCCTTCCGACGCTGCCGGGCCTCTTTGTGTGGTGGAGGGCTGCCCAGCTTCAGCAGATGGATGGTAGAATGAATGGCTATAAAAGGTGGATGAGACCAAAATGGGAAATCATGTTATTCTTTGTGTCTACCACACAAATGACACAGTGGGAAGAACACCAGAGTCAGATCCAGTGTGGATTCTGCTTTTGCTAGTGAAAAATGCTGTGACCATGAACAAGCACCAAGTCTCCTGCAACATCAGTGTCTTCATCAAAATGAGAGAAACAATCTTTAAAGTGTCTTCCAAGTCCAAAATTCCACCATTCTGCATTTGTGCTCAGAAACATTGTATTGCACACATTTTAAGAACTATGACAACACTTTCTACGCACTTCTCTGTACTTCCCAAAAGGCTAAATAAGAGCAGACCCAAAGTCAAAGTTCCCCTTATCTGATGTGCAGCCAGCTGTATTGAGTCTGCTTCTCATTTGTGCCTCATGAAACCAGCTGCCTGTATACTCCCTACCCAAGATGATAACAGATCACAGCAGCTGCCACTTAAGAAAATATGTATAACGGATGTGAAGGGCATCAGATAAGGTATGTGCATATTGCAAGGTATGTGCATATTGCATTGTGTGTATTTTAACATGCATTATCTAATTTTCATATAAAATCTAATTCCTTTCCTGCTGTTTTCAAGTTATTTAAATTTAATTTCTTGAATAACTAATACTCACACCTCGTTCAAAAAAGCATGAAAATTCATTCTGGAAGTCTTCCACTACACTTATCATCCATGTATCCTGTCCCATTAGCAACAAATGCTAGCAGTTTCTTATGTACCATTCCATGGGTATTTTAAGGACTCAAATATGTATATACATTCTCCACTGTCTTTCAGCATGAATGGTGGCAAAACACACTTTTCTGAGACTCAGTTTTTTCACTTACTTTCAGTACACGAAGTACTGCGCACCAGCTACTGTACACTATTGTGTAGCTACCGTAATCTATTCAATCATTTCCCAGTTAATGGGCAGTTTGGGTGTCTGCAATCTATCATAAAAACTTCTGTAAAAGTATGTAATTTTGAAAATGTGCAAGTATACCTGTCATTACCTAATTTTTAGCCTTCACAACAACCCTAAAAGATAGGTACTATTATTCTACAGAAGAAGAAGCAGCTACAGAATTCATAATTTAAACCAAGTGACCTAGGAAAAAAGATGCGAAGGCAAGTGCACCTGCTTCAAACTCATAAATGATGTCAAAGTGGCCAGTTTCCAATGTAACACAATTTTATTTATGTTCAAGAATATAATATTCAGCATCCCCTTTCAAAATTAAAATTAAATCTCATATACACAGTTCTTTCACCAATTATGGAATGATATATTTTAGCTTATAAATTATTAATTCAAAAACTTGTGTTAAGATTATTTTAAATTATTGGTTTCTTGTGTGGAGTGAGCTCTCTCTTGCTCCTGGTTATTACTGAACCTAACTGGGCCTAACTGGGGGTAATGAGAGATCCAGAAAGGACACAGGGAAGACAGACAGAAAGTTGGGCGAGGTGTGTTGGGCGCTTGGGTGGAGACGCACAACAGCCTCCTTGCTTCTTATCTCTATTAATCTCTTCTCTTTACTTTGCTTCTTTATCTTTATTCTTTAAGGCCTTACTCCTTTACAATTCTTTAAAACTTTGCTTCTAAAAGTCTTCTTTTCTGTTCTTTAAAGTCTTGTTCCTTAGACTCGCATGTTTTCTCTTAGCTTTTCTTTAGCATAATCTCTCTTAAAGTCTTTGCCCTCAGACTTGCACTGTCCCATGTTCTCTCTAGCTTTAGCAATTCCCTTTAGCAGTTCCCCTTCAGCAATCCTCCCTTCAGCAATTCATTTTCCCCCTTCAGCAATCTCCCTCAAGCAATTTCCCTTCAGCCAAAAGACCCCTCCCATCAAAAAGCCTCCCATAATCAAAAAGCCTCCCACATCCAAAAAGCCTCCCACATCCAAAAAGCCTTGTATCCTCCTTCAGCGAGTCTCTTATACCCAGTGGTAAACAAGGAGGTGGAGCATGATACTATAATAAGAGAAATCGGCATTCCTTCTTCTAAACAACTTAGGAAAAGCAGCTGAGCTGCAGCTCACCTTCTTGCTCTCTTCTGCAGCTGGGGCTGTGCCAAATCTCAGCCTACAGATTATTTGACATAAATGTCTTAGGAAAAGCAGCTGCTCTGCATCTTATGTCCTCATAGGCTTCTCCTATTCTGCTCTCCACACTTGTGGAAGTAATGGAACTTGAAAATCATTTGAAGTACTCAAAAACTACTGCATAACTAAGAGATAGCATAGATAAATGGGACCTCATAAAACTAAAAAGCTTCTGTTCATCAAAAGAAATGGTCTCTAAACTAAAGAGAACACCCACAGAGTGGGAGAAAATATCTGCCAGCTATACATCAGACAAAGGACTGAATATATAGGATATATATATATATCCAGAATATATAGGGAATTTAAAAAACTAAATTCTCCCAAAACTAATGAACCAATAAAGAAATGGGCAAGTGAACTAAACAGAACTTTCTCAAAAGAAGAAATTCAAATGGCCAAAAAACACATGAAAAAATGCTCACCATCTCTAGCAATAAAGGAAATGCAAATTAAAACCACACTAAGATTCCACCTCACCCCTGTTAGAATAGCCATCATTAGCAACACCACGAACAACAGGTGTTGGCAAGGATGCAGGGAAAAGGGAACCCTCTTACACTGTTGGTGGGAATGTAAACTAGTACAACCACTCTGGAAAAAAATTTGGAGGCTACTTAAAAAGCTAGACATTGATCTACCATTTGATCCAGCAATACCACTCTTGGGGATATACCCAAAAGACTGTGACACAGGTTACTCCAGAGGCACCTGCATACCCATGTTTATTGCAGCACTATTCACAATAGCCAAGTTATGGAAACAGCCAAGATGCCCCACTACTGTCCAGTGGATTAAGAAAATGTGGTATCTATACACAATGGAATTTGTGCAGCCAAGAAGAAGAACGAAATGTTATCATTTGCTGGTAAATGGATGGAATTGGAGAACATCATTCTGAGTGAGGTTAGCCTGGCCCAAAAGACCAAAAATCGTATGTTCTCCCTCATATGTGGACATTAGATCAAGGGCAAACACAACAAGCGGATTGGACTTTGAGCACATGATAAAAGCGAGAGCACACAGGGAGGGGTGAGGATAGGTAAGAAACCTAAAAAATTAGTTAGCATTTGTTGCCCTTAACACAGAGAAATTAAAGCAGATACCTTAAAAGCAACTGAGGCCAATAGGAAAAGGGGACCAGGAACTAGAGAAAAGGTGAGATCAAAAAGAATTAACCTAGAAGGTAACACACATGCACAGGAAACTAATGTGAGTCAACTCCCTGTATAGCTATCCTTATCTCAACCAGCAAAAACCCTTGTTCCTTCCTATTATGGCTTATACTCTCTCTACAACAAAATTAGAAATAAGGGCAAAATAGTTTCTGCTGGGTATTGAGGGGGTAGGGGGGAGAGGGACGGGGCGGAGTGGGTGGTAAGGAAGGGGGTGGGGGCAGGGGGGAGAAATGACCTAAGCCTTGTATGCACATATGAATAAAAAAAAGAAAAAAACTACTGCATAATCCCTCTTCTGTTTTACACACTACCTGAAACTCAACAAGATAGTCACTTCAACATTCTTATATTCCTTAAAAAGGGAAATTCCATGGGCTGGAGGTGTGGCTCAAGCAGTAGAGCACCTTCTTTGCAAGTGTGAAACTGAGTTCAAACCCCAGTTTCCCACCCCCCAAAAAAATCTTTAAAAACCCCAAATATATTTTAAAAAGGAAATTCTATATTCTTTAAATAGTAAGCATAAATAAAACCTAAAAACTCCTACTTGCAATTTCCCTATAAGTTCATTATTCAAATTAACTGATGAAAAAACTGAAAGCTCAGCTTAACTTTTTTTTCTTTCAGCTACTCTGTCACGTTTGGAACTAACAAGAACAGTAAGGAAACAATGCTTTAGCATCTTTAATGAGCTTCAGAAATAGAAAGTCAGAGCTCTCAAATTTCATCATGGCAAATAATGGAAACTGCCTTACCCTGAATCCACTCTTGCTTTTTCTTCTTATCTGAAGCACTGATTTCAAAGGTCTTATCGAAACATTTTATTAGAAAAAGGCATTTCTTTCCATCTTTGTCAGGCAGAGGCTAAAACAGAAAGCACAATTAGTTCTGTAAATCTTACTCTGTTTGCTTTTTGTTTTTTACAGACACAGTCTCATGAGGCAGCCCAGGCTGGCCTCAGCCTTGTAATCCTCTTGCCTCAGCCTCATGAGTACTAAGATTACAAACATGTGCCACCAGGCCTGGCTTATTACTTTACACAAATCTGACTGAAACTCAGCATCAGTTAAAAAAAAAAAAAATGTATGAATATAAATTACTGGTTTACCAGCAGTATAACTAAAGGTAGCAATGACTCCTGAGTGGTACACCACGTCTGTACCAGGACAGTGACAAACACCAGTGGGAACCTGGGCTTTCTTGAGTGCAGCAATTCTTGCACTTGGGCGTGCCCCTTGTAGCAAGCCTGGAAGGTACACTCACGGAAGTGTGACAAGAGCCAATGACACACAAAGCTTCTAAGCCATGGTGATTCTGCCCTCTGCCTGGTGTGACCACTTCTCCTCACACCTCAGATGCTCTTTCTGGCCACCTGTGGGTTCTACCTTATAGACCTATGAATAGAATTTTCTTGGCATGGCCCATGGGACCCTTATGAGTCTTTGTGTAGGTGACTCTAAGAAGACTCCTTTATGGGCACTGCCTAACCCAAAACATTGCTGTATCTATTCTATTTCATTCGTCCAAATGCACTATAATTTATGAGTGAGCACTCAGGTATTTTAAATGTTTTTCAACAAATACCGACATAGTGGCAGTTCATATACAAATCAAAACCTCAAAACACTCAGGCTGGGGATGCAGGTCAGTGGTAGACGATTTCCAGCATGCACAAGCCCATGGCTTTGATCCCCAGAACCACAAGAAAAAAAAAAAAATCAAAAGCTCAAACTTTATGTTCTTGAGAACATTTCTTTACAGAACTAGTAGCTATAAACAAAAAAGCCACTCAAAGTGCTCAAATATAATGCCCAGTCCTCTTTCCTTTACTGTACTCAAGTGCCCCAGAACTTATACCAGGTATGGTGGTTGGTGCACGCCTGTAATCCCAGCACTCAGGAAGCTAAGGAAGGAGAACTATAGTTTGAGGCCAGCCTGGGCTACAAAGTGAAATCCTGGCTCAAAAACAAAACAAAACAAAAGCCTCAGATCTTTCAGGATATTTATGATTTTAAATATGTCTTACTGAACATTTTGTTTCATTTTTTATGAATCCATTTTGTTCAATAAATGACTCCTTAAATGTACAAGTAAATTAGATTTAATCCCTATACTTTGTTCACAAGTATAAGACAGAAGATAAATTCACATTAGAAAAAAAATTTTGGACTGGAGGTGTGGCTCAAGAGGTAGAGCACCTGCTTTGCAAGTGTGAAGCCGTGAGTTCAAACCACAGTCACACCAAAAAGAAAAGAAGTCAGCTACCTTTAATTTTTGGTTCAGAAACCATGTATGCCTACATGATTTTGGAATTGTAAATTTGGGGATCATTCAAGGCTCAAGAGTCTAGAAGTGCGAGACGAAACTCCCTCAGCAGTAGGGGGCAGCAGCGTGTAAGCATGCAAGGCAGGAGTAGTAGACTTACCTCTACACAGCAGTTTTCATCCAAGAGAATGTCTCCCTTCTTATCTTTCAGATCCTCACTCACATAATAATAAATTACGTTAGGTTTTAGTACAAACCAGCGTTCAGTCCAGTTTTTCCGTCGATGGCCTTTTTTCATCATGTAACCCTACAAAAGATTAAATCTGATGTAAATGTTTATGCTTTTATTTGTAAGAATATTTCTTCCTTAATAGTTTTGCCTACTCCATTATGTGATACTGTTCCTCTGTGGATCATGGGCCCTTTGAGAATCTATGAAGGCCAGGGGAGTTTAACCAAATTCATACAAACACATGCAGACAAAGGTTTGCATATAATTTCAGACATTTCAGAGACAAACCCATCCAAATGACAGATAACCCTTGATGTTAATAACACTATGAATTTTCTAAATGCTTTATCTTTTGAGTTACCTATTCTTTATCTATCTTTTCTTTATCTATTGAAATATTTACTGGTAAAATGAAATGTCTGGGATTTTGCTTCAAAATAATACAGGAAAACTAAGCATGGTGCTGCAAGCACTCAGGAGGTTGAGACAGGAGGATGGTGAGTTCAAGGTCAGCTTAAGCTTCATAGTCAGACCCTGACTCAAAAAACTAAATAATACTAGTAATAACAGAAATAGTGGGCTGACAGAATGGCTCAAGTGGTAAAGTGCCTGTCTCACAAGCATGAGGCATGGAGTTCAAACCCTAGTTCCACCAAAAAAATAACAAACAAAAAAATAGTAATAACAATAATACAGAAGAGGCACAAAGGCAGGTGGAATAGAACTAGACATATATTGGATGATGTATTTGGTGAACTCAGGGCTTCATGCTTGCAAAGCAGGCATGCTACTGCTTGAGCCACACCTCCAGTCCATTTTGCTCTGCTTATTTTGGAGATGGAGACTCAAAAACTATTTGTCCGGACTGGCCTCAAACCTCAATCCTCCTGATTTCAGTCTCCCAAACAGCTAGGATTATAGGTGTGAACCACTGCACCTGGATCTATTTCATTTTTTAGAAAGACCCCCTAATAGTGAGTCTTAGTAAATTAAAATCTCAATCAATAAAAATGTTAAAAGGCTTCAACTTGACCAGGTTTATCTTCTAAACCAAATACTCAGGGATTTCTACCCACTGGTAGCAACCTACCTTTCTACCTGACCTCTCAGTATTCTGGAAGATAAATCCTGTTCTGGACAAGCAGAAGAGAAGAGGAGTGTTGTTAGGTATGGGCTTCTAAACTCACACTCTAAGCCCTGGGCTTCCTTCCCACTTACCAGCCTAAAATGTATGCTATTAAGCTAGGCACAGTGCAGCATGCCTATAATCCCAGCACTCAGGAGAGTGAGGCAGAAGGCTCGAGAATTTAAGACCAGTCTGGGCTATACGGTGAGACCCTGTCTCAAAAATAATTAAGTAAATAAATAAATACGTAATAATTTGGCTATAAATTTCATCAGATTATTATTCTAAGTTCTACTCACATAACTCATCCAGTTTCTTAATTCTTGAACATTTAAACTAAAGCTATGTCATAATGCAACTCATCTGTAGTTCTATGTCCTGCCATCCTAATGAGCCTAGAAGTCTTCCTCAAATAGAGATGATGTCATATACCAAAAACCTATACAAGTTAAGCCTCAATGTTTATTGCTGGACTCCTTCAGAAGGAAAAAAACAACGATATCATCTACTGAACAAAAAAAGAAGCAAATTAAGGAAATGCAAAATGAGTTATTATTCAATATAATAATGTAAGATGTTTGAAAGACCCACTAAAATGTATATAACTTCTATCTAACAAGCATTAAGCTTGCCTACACATATCAGATACTGTGCTAAGGTCCTCAGAAAACAAAGATATCAGTCTAATAAGGCAACTTTACTACACAGAAGTATCTTTTTCTATAAGTATTTTTCTAATTTTGTAAAAATAATATAAAATCACACAAAAAGTCTAATAATACAGAAGAAAATAAAATTCACCAAAATTCCAGAGTCAGGAGGCTATCATTGAACATTTTGGTAACTATCCTTCCAGACAGGTCTACACACAAAAATCACAATGAAAGGGGTTACAAGATACCCACTCCTCTGCAACCTGTTTTCACTGAACAATATGACCCAGGTACTTTCCAGATTAAGGTACTTTTTAAAAACAGTTTAGGAATGGTACTGGTTTTCAGTGGTACTGGTTTGAACTCAGGGCCATTTTGCTTTAGGTATTTTTCCCAACAGGGTCTCACTTTTATGCAGCGGCTAACCTGCAGTCCTCCTGTTTACACATCCCATGTAGCTGTGATGACAGGCACATGCCACCATATCCTGCTTTTTATTGGTTGAAATGGGGTCTCACTAACTTTTTGCCCTACCTGGCCTTGAAATGAAATCCTTTGATCTCAGCCTCATGGGTAATTAGGATCACAGGTGTGAACCACCATACCTGGCTTGGAAATGCAGTATTTAAACAGTTCCACTGAAATAGTAACTTCTCTGTACAGCACAGATCAAAACAATTTCCCAAGTCATTTTATAACACTTTCAAAAAATTATTAATACTTCTAAAAAGTTTTTTGTTTTAGTATTTTTTTTCAGTTCAAGCAGTTAAACTCAGGCCTCTCTAAGAATGTGAAATAGAACCATGGGAAAATATTTGTCAAAGTAACCTGCTATGTACAAAATATGACTGAATCTATCGTCTAAAAATTGGCAGATGTCACTATACTAGTTTTCATATAAAAATAAAAAATTGTAAACTCCAAAAAAAAAGAAATAGTTAACTTCTGAATTCTTAGCTATACCTCAAAACTACCAGGGCTGGGGGTGTGGCTCAAGAGTACGGCACTTGCCTCGTATGCATGAGGCCTGGTTCAATCTCTAGCACTGTGGGAGGAAAAAAATTACAAGACTGGAAAAATAACAAACCTATTCTTTATTCTTGTTCTAAGGAGTTATAAGTAAGTGACTTATACCATCTTTATAGTAAATACATGTTATATTTTAAACATACCAAATTCTAAAAGTGAGGAAAAATACAGTGTTACAGTACTCTTACCTGTTTCAACACATCTAATATAAGCTCATTAAAGACTTCATTAATTGCCATAGATACCGTCTGACGATCCATGCCTTTACTAAACTGTCCATTTCCAATAAGCTCAATAAGTTCCCACACAGACAGGCCATCTTTACTGTCATCAAAGTTGATTTTGTAATGTTCAAACTGTTCTTGCTGCCAACCTCCTCCCATAGCTTCTGTAAGTTTCTTAAGCAGGTATTCAATCTGTATAAAAAAATTTTTAATTATTTCATGGTTCAAAAAACTTTTTATCACTTTTTACACTGATATGGTCAACTTAGGAAATATTCTTCACAGTTCCAAAAGAGCATTTCTTTAAAGGAACTCCTATTATTGGGAAGAGGGGTATGGATAAAATATATTAGCCTACAATAAGTAAAGGAATCAAAAACCAATAACCCTCAAATAATATATTTGTATACAAAATGAAAGCAAATTGCAAACATACAACTATATTATTTGATCTTATTTACTCTCTTTTGGATAGGTATTTCAGTATATCAGACATATATATATATATATATATATATATATATATATATATCAGACATATAACATGTACGTACTAAATTACGTAAGCATGTCGAAGTAGAATATATAAGTTATTCCCCAATTTACAGATTTCCCATGTAAACCAATTGCTTGACTCATGCTGGAGTACTAACAATGTTGTAAAGAATGGTTGAATTCCCAGCCTGAGCTGTAAAAAAGCTTATAAATCCTAAAACATCATACCTTTGTGGATAGTAAAAAATATTGCTATTAAAATATCAGCAGTTACAGCTTAAATAAGCAAAAAATGTCATTTTTTTTTCCTTATACAAAATTGGAGAACAGAAGGGCGAAACGGGGGGGGGGGGGGGGGGGAGGAGCGTTGATACCAGTGGGAGGGCAGAGGAGGTGGGAAAGGGTGTGGGAGGGTGTACACATGTATGTAAATGAAAAAGTGATACCTGTTGAAACAATTTCAGGAATGGGGGGGAGGAGGGGATAAATTGAGAACAGTGAAGGGGGTGAATTGAGTATGATGTATTTGATACATTGTAAGAACTATAGTAAATGCCACAATGTACCCCCACACAAAACAACAATTTAAAAAGAGAGAAAACAATAGCAGTTAAGCAAAACAATGAGGCAATAATACTGAATGAGAAGTTGGTATCTCTTATCTTCTGGAAAACCTGTATGTCTGTCCTACAGTGCTCTCAAATGAAGCAGATCTGAAAATTTTTAAAAACCATCGCTCCCTTCCAATTGCTTCCAACTGATTTCAGTTGCGAGCCACATCTTTCACACTCACCCCTGCCAGGACTCTTGTTCCCTGCCCTTTACTTCAAATCAGGGTTGAAACCCTGCTGATGCGACTTCCCTAAGCCAGTGTTTTTCAAACTGTGGATTATGCCCACTATGAAATCAACTTGGTAGTAACCAGTATTTTTCAAGACGAAATGAAAACATTTGGGTTCAACCACAATGAAGACAAATACTAAGGGAGGGTGGTTAAGGAAGAGTAACATAGATGGGTGAATTTGATCAAAGTACATTATATGCATTTTGTAAATATCACAATGAAACCATTTTGTACAATTAATTTATGTTAATAAAAAATTTTAAAGACAAATACTATCCTGTGACAAGTTTTTGTGTGTGCTGAGTCATGATATAAAATGCTTACTTATCATCCTACGGGTTGAAATCAAAAGAAAAGACTTTGTCCCAGACAATTCTCAAATCTCTCCTCCTCCTTGCTTCAGGCCTCCTACTAGGTATCCTTGCCTCCAGCACTGCCCCCTTTTATCTATCTTCTGCCAAAGGAGGTTTTCTAAAACAAAACCCTAAGCCTGTTACTTCCCTCTAAATCTTTCCCTGGCTCCATCTCACCTCAAAGAGAGAGGCCATGCTGCTCTGTGCCTCTAGGTGACATAGAGGCACCCCCTAGCCTATTTCCTCTACTGTGTCTTCCACTATGCCCACCTTGCCACCGAAATCTCAGATCAGGGCTTGCACACTTTTGCTACAATGGGCTGAAATGAAAGTATTTGGGCTTTGTCCATCTCTAGCACATGTTATACTTTGTTTTTTTAAAAAATACTTTAGAAATGCAAAAACTACTCTTAATGTATGGGCTGTACAAGAATAAACTGGTTTAGCTGCCACCTGCACAGATTGTAAATAGTTTATCTAGTTAACATACCTGCATTCTACCAATCTGTCTAGAATATCTTTTCCCATCTCTCTACCTAGTTGACTGGTATTTATTTAAGTTCTGTACCCTCTAGAATATTCCTACTCAAAGTGAGATATATGCATTGGCATCACCTGTAAGTCTGTTAGAAATGAAGAATCCAAATCAGAAACTGCATTTTGGGTTTTGTTTTTTTGGTTTTGTTTTTTTGTGTGTGTGTGTGGGACTGGGTTAAACTCAGGGCTTTACACTTGCAAAGCAGATGCTCTACCACTTGAGCCACACCTCCAGTCCATTTTGCTCTGGTTATGTTATGGCGATAGGGGTCTCATAAACTATTTGCCTGGGTTGGCCTTGAACTTTGATCCTCCAGATCCCAGCCTCTAAAGTAGCTAGGATTACAGGCATGAGCCACCAGCACCCAGCAGAACTTGCATTTTAACAAGGACCCCAGATGCCAGCACATGAACACTGAAGTTTGAGAAGCAATGCTCCAGCAAACCTGCTCTGGCCAACCTTAGGTCAGGTCCAACATTCTCTTCCATGTCCCTGCACTTAGTATACGGCATTGAAATTCTCTTTTCTCATATGCTTTTCCACCATTTTCTGAATTCCATGTATGAGGGACCATGCCTGCATTCACTTTTGAACTCCCAGAGTTCAACATGTACCTAGAATACAGCAGAGCTTGACTAATGTCTGCTAAGCCAAAATGAACTAAAGCTAAGCCCCAACTGTCTCCTCTATGAAATGGGCCTAACAGTACTCATCATATGAAACTGCAAATTTGCTCTATCTTTGGTCTACAGCATAGAGCTGTTGCCATCCCTCGGCACCGAGTGGAATATTATTCAGTCACTTAAAATTACATTTAAGAAAGCATTTATGAAATAACAAAAGGAAGAATGCAAAATTAAATTTACCTATGATTTCTACTCCATAAAGATTATGTAAAAATTTTGACAAGTATGTGTCAAAACACAGAAAGAGTAGGTTTTACCTGTTACAAATAGGATTGTGAGTTAAATTTTTCTTTCTTTCCATTTCCATTAGTTTGGTTATATCTGTGAAGTGACAGATTTTGACAAAAAAATGGAAATACATACATGTAATGAAATTAACATTCACAAAGTATCACAAGTTTAAAAAAATCCAGAGTTCTATTGATTTAATTCAATGAGACATAAACTCCTTTAGGACAAAAATTATCTTAAATCTTAAAATAGCACAAGGTAGGTATTCAACAAATGTTTACTTGTTGGAGAAAAGCATGCTTGGGTCTTTTCCTTCTCCTATTGAAGACACATCACCTATTGTCAGGCCTATCAGACATTAAGTATTTCTTGGCTCTTAAATAGAGAAGAACAGGAATAGACTCAGTGAAAGAGGGAAAGACACAACGGTTGAGAAGAAAGGGAAAGGGAAGAAAGGGACAGAAAAGATAAGGGAAAGAAAAAGATTAAAGTCAAGAAGACATTAAAGAGAGAAAAAAAAAGAAAAATTCAAAAGACATTAAGGCCAAGTATGGTGGTGTACTTCTGCAATCCTAGCTACAAAGGTGGAAATAGGAAGACTGTAATTGGAGACCAGTCCGGGCAGCTATCTCAAAAACAAACTGGGCATGGTGGTGCATACCTGTGATCCCAAGTATTCATGAAGTGGAGGTAGGAGGATTATGATCCAAAGCAGGCCTTGGAAAAAGCAGGAGACCCTGTCTGAAAAACAAACTAAACGCAAAAGGTCTGGGGGGCTCAAGTGGTACAGTGCTTGCCTAACAAGTGCAAGGCCTTGAGTTCAATCCTCAGTATTGCCAAAAAAAATTTTAAAGACATTAAGATAAATAATTTCTCAAGGTAAAATACTTAGTGGCAACCTGGCATCAGTGGCTCATGGCTGAAATCCCAGCTACTTAGGAGGCTGAGATCAGGAGGATCATGGTTCAGAGCCAGCCTGGGCAAATAGTTCTGAGACCCTATCTTGAAAATACCCAACACAAAAAGGGCTGGTGGAGTGGCTCAAGTGGTAGAGCACCTGCCTACCAAGCGTGAGGCCCTGAGTTCAATCCCAGTACCACAAAATAATAATAATAGTAATAACTTAGTGGCATTAACATGTACAGAAGTTCAAGCTCCCAAGATGCCACAAAAAGAAGGGTCAAGCTTTCTATTGTAACTGGGGGTAAAGGGAACACAGGAACAACTGGAAGTTTTAGCAGTAAGGCCAAAGGAAACACACATATACGGCCATATATGTACAGGATGAGGAACTACAAGTGGGCGTGACGGTGGTGCAGTCCATGACTATCCATGTATGTCAGGAAACAGCCTTAGCTCTGCCCCGTGTACTACTGTGAATGAAGTCCAGCCCCTCACACTACAGCTTCCGTTTCCTCTTCCGTATCAGGTGATAAGTCATGTTTGGAATTGAGAAAGTGCCTATCAGTAGCCAACTCGACTCTGGAGGCAGCCTCCCAGGTTTATCCTGAACATTCCTGAAGGTGCCCCCAAACCCTTAAGGCTGTCATCAGCCTCAGCACCCACCTGCTCATCAGCCCCAGTGACTGTGCCAGACAACTAATCTAGATTTACTTATTTATTTTATCTAGATTTATTAACACAATCAGACACATAACCAAATAACTTTAGGGCCTTTTGATTCTTTATATTGGGCCAAAGAGAGACATTCCCATTCTCCACTATTCAGTTATAGTAAATAATACGTCACATGCTGCCGTGTTAGTCTCCAGTGGCCTGCATCAATTCTGAGCGCTCATTCAGTTTCAGGAAGCAGCTTACTTCCTCCTTCTAAGCAAGTTTCACCAAAAATAACAAAGAATAAACTTTCAAGCAGCATGTCATTTTCTAGGCCTTTGCCTCAAAAATTTATTCTATCAAAAGTTCTTTCTCTGTAATCACTTAAAGGGGCGTTTATTTAAAATGAATAAATAAAATTTTTAAAAGGGGAATTTACTGACTTAACAATTCAGGTTTTAACTTCATTTAGGGCCTATTAAAACTAT